TTTCAGATGAAAAAACGCGACTTCTATTTCTGAAAATATCACAGTTAGGAGATTTATAGCGAGTGGTTCCCTGCATTATTACAGCAAAGCGTGTGATTACAGTACTGAGCCGCTGCAATGGAGCAGCTCTAATGCTATTAAATTAAAGATGATGTACATAGAGCACAAAAAATTAACAGTGACAGTAACAAAAACTTGTAAAATACATTTTAATGGGCATAATTAAGAGTGAAAATAACCGAAGGATATACAGTGAAACAACCAAAAATTATTCAGAGATCAGATATAATTTTTGATATTTTTTTTACTAGTGGGTGCAGGACACTATAGTTCATTTATGTAAGTGAGGATAGCAAAATAAAGTAAACTGTGACAAATCATACCCAAAATACAGTGGACTACCAGTAAAACTGATACAAATTTGGGTCCAAAAATTATTCAGACCGAGTCCGGGAAAACGGGAAAAATTCAGGTTTGCATGAAGCTGGACAGCTCCCGTTTGGAGGACCGCAGCTGTCTCCTCCTCAAACTTCCACACTCTTATTTTATCGAATACAGATGCTGATCTGACCCTTCACTGCATCTCATGTGATTCACAGTTTAAAAATGGAGACTGTGTGGTAAATGATGGCCTCATCTCTAATTCTCTCTGAAAGTCTGTTCTTATACCACAAAGAGATTTACTGCGTGTGGATGAAAAGCATGTATTGTGTCTGAGATATGTTCCGGTCTGGAGTTTTAGGAGACTCAAGAGACAACAGAGACGGACAATAGAGTTGTCATGTCTTGTTGGGATGGTAATTGAGTGCAGATCAGCACTTGCGGCACTGGACTGTCAGAGATAATTTCTGAAGAAAAAAATCTGTCATCATTTACTCTGCCCTAATGTTTGTGCAAACCCATAATACTTTTGTTCTTCTGTGGAATAGAAAATAAGTTTTGAAGAATGTCCGAGCTGCTCTGTTCCCCATACAATAACAGGAGTCTCAAAAACATGTTCCAAAAATGTTTTGCTAACATCCCCGTTAAATTTATTGTTCAACTTTATTTTAAGGTCCAATTCTAAATATTAACTAAATATTAATTATGACTTTTGCCTCAATATACTCCTAATTTGCTGCTTATTAATAGATAGTATGGTAGTTGTACTAATAAACTATTACTAATTAGTAGTAAGTACTAATAAACAACCAATATGCTAGTAATATGCATGCTAATAAGCAACAAGTTAATAGTGAGAACTGGTCCCTAAACTAAAGTGTTACTAATTTATTTATAAAATTATTTCTGAATGTCTCTGAACATTCAAAATGTCCTCTTTTTTATGTTTATAAACATTTTTTAAGTGAACATTCTATTTTTGTCATTTTGCAAACATTATGGGAAAGTTATTTTGAATGTTGTCTAAACCATCTGAAACTTGTAACTTGTATTAATGATTGTTCAGAACTTTAAGAGAACCTTGCCAGAACGTTCGCCGACTTTCTGAGAACATTCCAAAAAGATAATCCAAAAAGAACAAAAAGCATCAAAAGGGTATGGCAAAAATCGTTTCGGATAACATTTGTGTGAGAAATTATTAAGTGGTTATTCAGTGAAAATCTTCAGGCTTCAGAAAATGTATATATATATATATATATATATATATATAGCACACACACACATACATATTTATATATATATATATATAATTTAATATCAGATTACAATCAGATTTTGGATTTTATATATATATATATATATATATAAATAAAAAATTAATATATATATAAAATATCAAATGATGAAATGAGAGTAATGAAAAGTTGAGGAAAATAGGATAAAAAATAATGAATAAAAATGATTAACATTTGTTTAAAATATTTACTTTATAATGTGTGTGTGTATATATATATATATATATATATATATATATATACATATATATTTAATAGTAAACTAAATAAAAAGAAAAAATGATTACAGGATAATGTAGTCAGGATTATTCAATTAAATATATAAAATATACATATTTTATTAATCATATATAGTTAACAGTTAATATATAGTTAATATGTCATAGTATATATAATATATGAAAAATAAATTCATATGAAATGACAATGAAAAATTCAGAATATAGAGGAAATTATAGATTATTGGATTTGGAAGTGGTCCAAAATTGATTTCATATGTGCTTTTGTATAAATGTATTCTAGCAGTGCTGCTATTAAATTTGTCATGCCAAATCATCTAGTCCAAATAAAATATACATTTACACACTACTAAACATACCCTTAAACACCTCCTCTAAAGCACTGATTTCTGCCTCACAGAAGTCCACCATGAAGTGTGATGGATTCCAGTCTGAATTCCACTTCTGAAACACCTTCAAGGCTTCTGCGATGTCCTCTTTAGTCTCTGTCTGAGTGACAAACACTCCAACAGCGGCGTAGCTCACATTTGTCCTCACCCACAGAAAGAAGAGTGGTAGTGAATTTCTGTGTGGCAAAGACCAGTAAATAGTTGTTATTTTTAGTTTTAGTGAATCTGAGATTTCATTCCTGTATACAAGTACACATTAAATGACAAACTGCACCACCCACACACCTGCCAGCTCGATAGGATTCATCCAGTAAGCGTCTGCAAGCACAGCAGCATCTTCACCACGCTACCATCCTCCTTCTCCTGAGAGGGTCTGTACTCAATGGCACAGCCCTCTTCTTTCCATGTGTTTACCAAGGCCTACAACGTATAACCTGTCAATTAATCATTTTAAAGAATTTTGAATGTAATAAAATCATTTCTGCAACATAAAACATGGTCAATGTTCAAAGAAAGCCTACATGAAATCCAAACTGACTTAGTTCTGGTCTTATTGTGAACGAGTCATTTGTACACATTATTCCAAAGAAAAAAAATGCATTAAAGGGATAGTTCACCCAAAAATGAAAATTCTGTCATTAATTACTACCACGTTCAAGGCCCAGAAATGTAGTAAGGACATTGTTAAAATAATGCATCGTGATTCTTGCGTGAATGGCGGCGGACACTGACACGGAAGAGAAGAGTTGTTGAATAAAGTCATTTTTGTTTTCTTTGCACACAAGTATTCTCATAACTTCATAACATTACGGTTGAACCACTGATGTCACATGGACTATTTTAACGATGTCCTTACCTTTCTGGGCCTTGAATGTTGTAGTTGCATTGCTGTCTATGCAGGGTCAGAAAGCTCTCGGATTTCATCAAAAACATCTTAATTTGTGTTCCGAAGATGAACGGTCTTACGGGTTTGGAACGACATGAGGGTGAGTAATTAATGACAGAATTTTTATTTTTAGGTGAACTAACCCTTTAACCTATCCTTCTGATTCAACTTCCCTTTGGAGGCTGACGTCACAAATCCAGTTTTTTTGTGCATCCTTTTTAACTTTAAAATACATCATATTACAGAAGCAAAGCTGGTTTTGAATGTCATTTCATGTTGACTTTAGTTATTTGTAACAGCACTAGGGTTGGGTAGATCGACACCTAGTGTCGACACACGTTTCGAGTTTTTGACACACTAGTGCTTCGAAACAGTGTTCCGGAGCATTGCTTGAAATGAGGCTGTCACGTGACCTGTGAAAACGAAGCTTCGTTACCTCACTGACACGTCATGCTAGGCTCAAATACAAAGCAAGTCGATTACGCTGTCCCATACCCGTGATCCATTTAGTGCAATGTTATAGTTATATCAATCAGCATGCCTATATGTCTGTAGTGTTTTTACGTGGTGTATCGTTGTTAATTATAGTACTACTATTAAAAACAATGACATGTGAATGTCTGTTGACTGAATGAAAATTAAAACACCTTGCGGGCTCAACCACTGTTCCCAAAAAGGATAAAAGTCCTTCCTTAACCACAGACATTTCTGCTGCTTGTAAATGCCGTCCTCTGTTGTCAACAGCTCACACTGGCGAAAAAAATATATTGCAAAATATATTAAATGCAATAACTGAATTTGTGTTTTTTAACAATGTGAATGTTTGTGTTCTTTTGTAAGGAAGACACAAAAATGGTGCAATGAAAAATGACGTAGGTCTAATTTATTGGCGTATTAAACATTCTATTTATGTGAAAAGACAAGTTTGATGCAAGTAAAAATTTATAAAATGAAGTCTTTATTGTCATTGTATTGTGCAAAATACAATAAATCTGGGAAACTATCGCTGCACACACACATGCCGCCTTGCTATGACACATATGCTTATTAAATAGACAATTAAACCTTACAGTGACATCCCAATGAACAAAACATCTAAATGATACAGTTGGTGTAAGAATTTTTATTGACCACCAGATAACGGGGTAGAGCACTGTGTCAAAAGCTTCGAAGCATCAACGCAGTTTGTTGTAAAAGCCTCACTGCTTCAAAAGCCTCGTTCGACACATCCCTAAACAGCACCTCAATTAGGTGACAATGTTTACCTGTAGATTATGATGGTCTGCACTGGACTTCCTGTTTCCTGCCTTGACCTTTTTTATGATGTTCCAAATGTCTCTTGATTCCTGCAAGTTCAAGCAGAACAAAACGGCATTACTCGTTGCATTTGCATAGCATACAGTTCTGTTCAAAGGTGTGGGGTTGGTAAGATTTTTTTAATAGTTTTGAAAGAAGTCTTTATTGCTCACCAAGGCTGCATTTATTTGATCAAAAATACAGTAAAAAAACTGTAATGTTATGAAATATTATTACAATTTAAAATAACTGTTTCCTATTTGAATATATTCTCAAATGTAATTTATTCCTATGATGCAAAGCTGAATTTTCACCATCATTACTCCAGTCTTCAGTGTCACATGATCCTTCAGAAATCATTCTAATATGCTGATTTGCTGCTCAAGGAACATTTCTTCTGATTATCAATGTTGAAAACAGTTGTGCTGCTTAATATTTTTGTGAAAACTGTGATTTCCAGGATTCGTCGTTGAATAGGAAAATCAAAAGAGCAACATTTATTTGAAATAGAAATCTTTTGTAACATTATAAATGTCTTTGTTACTTTTGATCAATTTAATGTATCCTTGCTGAATAAAAGTATTCAATTCTTTCAATAAAAGTAATCAAATATCATGTTAGTCTGCCTTATCTTGTGAGATCAATCCTAGGCACAAACCTTTCCAAAAATGGGGTGGTTTTGATGCCCTTTAATATCTGGGAAGCTGGCTGCAAACATTTCTTCTGTGCGCACACGCTTTGGATCTAGTCTTAGGGCCTCTCGAACAGCTGAAGACTTTTCTCGTTTCTGATACGGGTTATCTTCTGTTATCTGGTCCCGAAAAACAAAAATAATGTTAAGGTTTCCATGAAATGTGCCTGACACTTGCAAAATCACTTGATGCCTCATGGTGTTAATATACAGGTGCATCTCAATAAATTAGAATGTCGTGGAAAAGTTCATTTATTTCAGTAATTCAACTCAAATTGTGAAACTCGTGGTTTAAGTCTTTGGTTCTTTTAATTGTGATGATTTTGGCTCACATTTAACTAAATTCATGAAAAATGAAGCAAAATACAAATTATAATAAATTCATAAGTCAGTGTAGGTGACAGACATCATCAAAACTTCTGGTTAAATGAATGTTTTTCATATACAGGGTCAAAGTCAGAGTGGAGGACAAGGACCTGGAGGAGGGAAGAAGGATGACAAGGTGAGTATTTATCACACACACACACACAAAAAAACATACCATAATTAAGTAATATACAGGTCCATCGCAATAAATTAGAATGTCGTGGAAAAGTTTGTTTATTTCAGTAATTCAACTCAAATTGTGAAACTCGTGTATTAAATAAATTCAATGCACACAGACTGAAGTAGTTTAAGTCTTTGGTTCTTTTAATACGACATTCTAATTTATTGAGATGCGCCTGTATATATAGAAAATGTCTGAAGAGAATAATCTTAGAGAAATTTAGCAGTTAAAATGTACAAATTTCCATCTGTGCATTGAATTTCAGGATAAGAAAAAGAAATATGAGCCTCCCATTCCCACAAGAGTTGGGAAAAGGAAGAAGAAAGTGAAGGGACCAGATGCTGCCAGCAAACTCCCTCTGGGTAAAATAAATATCATGATACCTGTGTCAAGCGGCTGTTACATAGATAGTAGTGATCCATAAAATCATGAATTGTTATTGTCGCTTTCTTCTTCTTCAGTCACTCCACACACACAGTGCAGACTGAAACTCCTCAAACAAGAGAGAATTAAAGACTTTCTGCTGATGGAGGAGGAGTTCATCAGGAACCAGGAGCAGATGAAACCCCTGGAGGAGAAACAGGAGGTGAGCACATGTATTATTGTGTCTCTTGATATTGTGTATATAAAATGTTTTTGTTTTTTTCAATTTCTATAATTATTATTGTTTTTATTTTGAATCAGAAGAACCATAATTTGGTCCGAAGAGGCATTACAGAATACAAATATTGAATGAAAGATATTTAATCTAGAAACACAAATCTAGATCAAAATCAAGCCCAGCCCTAAACATCATGTTTTGTTTATAGGAGGAGAGATCTAAAGTGGACGATCTCAGAGGGACACCCATGTCTGTGGGAACTCTGGAGGAGATCATTGACGATAATCACGCCATTGTGTCGACATCAGTGGGCTCTGAACATTATGTCAGCATTCTGTCGTTTGTAGATAAAGACCTACTTGAGCCCGGCTGCTCTGTGTTACTGAACCACAAGGTTAGTAAAGTCTTTAAAATCACTCAATAGACCTTAGGAAATGGAAAGATAAATAGAAATGAATATTGACCCACTTAGATTGTCTTGACTCTCATTAGACCATGTTTATTTCTGGTGTGGGTTTCACATGACCAGACACAAACTGTCTGATGTCACAAACAATAGTGTGAGAGGTTCATTTGTTTTAAAGTGCTCATAATAGACTTGAATATTGACTCACTCACTTAACTTTATGTAAATACAGAAGTCAATTTTAGTACTGCATTTTGAATATTTTTATTAGGCCTGTCAATAATAACATTATTAAATTATTATTTGATTATAATATGTATTTTATGTTTTGTTATTAATTTATGTACATGTTTGCAGGTTCATGCAGTAATCGGGGTGCTTATGGATGACACAGACCCTCTGGTGACTGTAATGAAAGTAGAGAAAGCCCCGCAGGAGACATACGCAGACATCGGAGGTCTGGACAACCAGATTCAAGAGATCAAGGTAACAGATTAGTCTCCATAAAATTAATTTCAATTTCAAAGTGGCTAAAAACTGCAAAAAAAGTTTGATTTTTTTTATTGGTTTATAAAAATAGGACATACATTATATTATATTAATTAAAATAAATATATTAATTTATATTGATTTAATTATTATTTCTTATTGGCAGTTTTTCTCTGTCTACATGTCCTTGATTATGTCAGCTGTTACAATACAATATACAATACAATTTGATGAAATGCGTTTTTCATAACATTTTCTTCTTTAGAATAACAGACACTGATGAATCCTGCACAAGAACACCAGGAACATTAATCAGGACATTACATGAATTCTAAGGCATGTTTGACCTTGTGCATTTCTTCATTCAGGAGTCTGTGGAGCTCCCCCTCACACATCCAGAGTATTATGAAGAGATGGGAATAAAGCCGCCTAAAGGGGTCATTCTGTACGGCGCACCGGGAACGGGTCAGTCTGAGGGGTCTTAAAAACCAATCTGTATGTTGTCATTTTCTTAGCATATGTTTTGTGTTGATGTTCTGTATTGCTGATGTGCAGGCAAGACTCTTCTGGCGAAGGCGGTGGCGAACCAGACGTCTGCCACCTTCCTGAGGGTGGTGGGCTCAGAGCTTATTCAGAAATACCTGGGCGATGGTCCCAAACTGGTGCGAGAGCTCTTCAGAGTGGCTGAGGAGCACGCTCCGTCCATTGTCTTCATAGATGAGATTGACGCTATTGGCACAAAGAGGTGAGTATGAAGGTCAGCATTATTACTATAGAAATCATTCTAATATGCTGATTTGCTGCTCGAGAAACATTTCCTATCATTTTCAAATCTTTTATAGAAATATTTTGTAGCAGTATAAATGTCTTTACTGTCACTTTTGATCAATTTAATACATCTATGACAAATAAAAGTATTAATTTCTTAATATATAATTCTAAATGTTAAAATGTGTGCATTTTGTTACTTTTTAAATCTATTATTTACACAATATTTAAACAGTTTTTTTATTTACACTAAATACACTTACACTTATACACTTAATGACAATATTCACTCATAAATCACAAAAAATATTTGAAAAACAAAACTTGTTGGCTGTTGTTAGATTTTAGAACTAACACTGACAAAATATAATTATACTGTAAAAAAGAGAATTTATGTGCGGCCCCAGGTGTGTGTATATTGGGTACAGATTGGATTGTTTTTATTAGAAACAGTGGTAAACACTTGACATTTGGCTCTTGTTTCTCTGCAGGTATGAATCTAATTCAGGAGGAGAGCGTGAGATCCAGAGAACAATGTTGGAACTGTTAAACCAGTTGGATGGATTTGACTCACGCGGAGATGTTAAAGTCATCATGGCTACTAATAGGATAGAGACACTTGACCCAGCTCTCATTAGACCAGGTGAATTAGTCAGCTTACCTTGTTTATTTCTGGTGTGGGTTTCACATGCTAATTGAATCAAAGTGGACTCACTGGCCAGATGCAAACTCTCTGAAGTCGCAAACATTGGTCTGAGAGTTACCTTTGTTTTAAAGTGCACATAATTACATTCAATAAAGGATGAAGTGCATTACTTTGTAGACTAAAAGTAGATGTTCCCTTTGTGCGATTCCACAGGTAGAATTGATCGTAAGATTGAGTTCCCACTGCCGGATGAGAAGACTAAGCGCAGAATCTTTCAGATCCACACCAGCAGGATGACGGTAGCGGATGACGTGACTTTGGATGACCTCATCCTGGCTAAAGAAGACCTCTCTGGGGCTGACATCAAGGTAGCATCTAAAGGCCTGTTTAATTAAATAGATGCATAATCTTGTGCAGTTTGATTACATGCAAAAACAGTATATTGCAGAACAAGATGTGTTTCGTGCACACAACATACAAGGAAGTTACAACAGGTAAACATGTCAGCTGTGTAGATGCATGGCCTGTTAATATAGATGTTTCGTTTTTAATATATTTTCATTTTAATGATATGTGATATTTTATAGTTTATGCTTTTTTTCAGTTGATGCGTAAACAAAACTTCACTAAACATTTTATTGCACGTCTGGCATCCAATAACTGCAATAAGATTGGTTCTTTATTACTTTTTTATTTATTTTTTATGTCATTTGACGCTATTAAATGTGGTGGCAGTCAACCGATCATCTTTCCGTCTTTACTGCTAGTTATAGCGTGAAAAATACATGACTGAACATCAGAAGTATGTTGAAAGAACCAGTACCCAACTTAATCAAATGTCTCATGTCTCGTAATCGCTCAATCAGTGTTTCAACCGCGGAAAGATGTAAATAAAACCGCTTGTAATCAATTGTCACGTAACATTTACCTCTGGCAAATGATTTAAAGGGGTCATATGATGCGATTTCAAGTTTTCCTTTCTCTTTGGAGTGTTACAAGCTCTTGGTGCATAAAGAAGATCTGTAAAGTTGCAAAAACTAAAGTCTCAAATCCAAAGAGATATTCTTTATAAAAGTTAAGAGTCAACCACACCTACCTAAAATGCCTCGTTCTAACACGCCCCCACATGTCTACATCAGGATGTGGAAATATTAGCATAATGCCGCCCAAATGTGCACGCAAAGAAAGAAGGCGTGGTTTCAGGAACAGCAGTAGTGTTGATGGACTTTATTTGGCCTTCCGGAAGCAGATGCAATTAGGAATCTGGTTTATTTACAACAGAACAGCACAACCCAGATGTTCGAATTTGTGCAA